TAATGAGAAAAACCAAATTTCCCTAATACCCAAAAATGGATAACAATGTTAAATTTTAGCTGTTTTTTTAGTCTTTCTTGCAAAATTAATGAGCTGTGAAATAAGTTGTTAAATGTGACATATTTAAAAAACATTAAAAATATCAGTGTCGTAAAAATCTTTCTTTAGCAGTCAAGACTTAAATTTTATCCCCATTGTTATTAATATGGGATACTGCTAATGTATTGCCCTTTATTTGTCAGAGTGGGTGTGAATCTGTGTGGGAGTGGGAGTGTCATGTATGCGTGCATATTCACACTTAGTAACATCCTGTAGACTTGAAGTTTGCATAGGAAAAAAGGAAACCTAAATTGCCTGAGAGCCAAGTACTCAGCAAGGTGGTTTGTAACTCATAGAGAAATCATTATCCCTACTTGACAGATGAAGAAATAGATTCATATTCAGCTAGATTAAATAATTTGAAAGCACAACTTGTTAATTGTAAAAAAAACCTTGAGCCCTAGACTATCTTGCTCTTCTCCATTAGAGCTATGCTGCTCTAAGGGATCTTTCCAGTAATGAGGTTAGATTTTGTGCAGACATGTTTATACTGCTATCCCCTAGAAAACCACCAGGGCTGATGATACCCTATTAGTATAGCTCGACTCAGTTTTCAAAATAATTTTATCCTATCTACTTTGATCCTTACAAAATGAAAAGATTGCAGGCAAAAAAAAAAAAAAAAAATTCCCAACTTATATTTGAGCAATTTCAGAGAAGTGCTTACAAACACAAAGCTGATGAGAGGTAGAATTTAGATTAGAACCCAGATCTGTGGTTCTAGTGCCTTTTCTATTTCCTTTACCTTCCCTGGATTAGATAGGTGATCTTTGATCATGAAATAGTGAAGTTTTACAGACTGAATCTTATATTGTGTCATGTAGTGATCACACTGCAGCTACTGCCTGGTTCCCTGTTTAGCAATCGAATCCTGTTTTCCTGTTAGTAGGACAACTTTGATGTGTAATGGGCTGTAGTGATGGTTATTGAATAAGTAATAAATGGAAAATGTTCACTTGGGATTTCTGTATTTAAACTTTATTCTCGTGTGACTCCACATTTGCCTTATGGAAATGTATATAAGAAAGGAACTGTCAAGGAAAGGATAGTAGTGGTTAAGAGCACATGTGTTAGACGCAGGAATACCTAAATTTGAATCCTGGATTTGCCCAGGAGCAAGACAGTTTCCTCATCTGTGGGGAAAGTAAGAACCACAGGGTCAGAGGAGATGGGTCCATAAAGAGACAAACACCATGCATGGCCAATGGGCCTTACATATGTAGTAGCTATTTAATCATTAGCTTTGACAGGATCCTTTTTTTTTTATAACAGCAATATTTCTTTTTGTTTAGAAAGTGTCCAATCTAGTATGATTATTTCTAAAGTATCTTAAAAGTAGATTGTTTTCCGTTATTTCTGCCAACAGCATAGATGATCTAAAACAAGTGATATTTGCAATTACTTCATTTTATATTTAAAATATGTAGTTTAAAGATGAGAAATCTGCTTTCCTCTTTATTTCCTCACATTATGATAATATAAGTAATTTGTATTTCTTGAGCTAGTTATTTGGAGAACACAATTATGACCATGTTAGGTTAGGTAGAATAGGAGTTTTTTCATGGTTGGTGTGGAGAATTGAGAACCTAGGACTAGCATTCAGTATAGAATTTCATATTATTCAGATTCCTAACTTGTAGACTCTTGAGATCTGCAACATAGGTAATGAACTATTATGTTATAGCACACACATTTATGGCTTTGTATACCAAGATGAACAAACCAGAGAGAAGCAAGCATTATTTAGAATTATGTAAAGTATCATTTTAAATTTATTAAAAAACTGGTAGCCCATCAGAAGTATTTCACTAAGTAAATCTCTTGGTTTGGTTTTACTTTTGAAGATGGCATGTGTCTTGGAGCGCATTTTGTTAACTTATAATTCCATGTTTCTGACTAAATTTAATATTTTTTCTGTAAGTTCTCTTTGTATATGATGTTAACCAATAGTTTTAGATTTTAAATAAAGGATTTCATTAGCCTTTAATTAAAAAGTTTAAGGAGGGAAATATTCCAAAACAATTTAGGGATTATATGTTATTCCTTTTTTGAAAGACATAGGAAGAGGTTAATTTTGAATTATGAAGTTATTCATCCAGAAATTAAAAATAAGTTATTTCCTTTGACTTCTACTTGTATGACTTGAGTAAACAGAATTTTAGAGCTGATGTTCCTTTTTTTTGATTCCCTAAAATATTTTTTTATTTTTTTAATTGCTGTTCAGTTGCAGTTGTCACGCCCTTTTCCATTGCTCTCCCTACCCTGTCCCCCCTTCTCCCACAGTCAGTGCCCCCATTGCCCATGCCCATGAGTCCTCTGTTCGTGGGCCTTCTTATTCAAACAGTGCAAATAATGATCCTTGTTCTATTTACCTCCTGTAGTTGTGAAATCAAGTCAAATAGTATATGTATATAAATCAGGCATGGTGCTAGGTAAGCAATATTGTAGGCAAACATAATACCTCCCTTTAAGGTACTAACAGTGTGGCGGAGGAAGAGAATTTTATTAAACCAGTCATTTTGCAAGTAATTATTTAACATTCTATGAGCCCCAAGTATAAGAAAAAAGTACAGGTAGCCTAACTAGTTTTGGATCCAGAGTAAAAGCTGCCCAGGGGAAGATAAACTTAAGGTGAAACATCAGTTGAAGGGGTTGTGAGAGACCACTCCTAGTGGAAGAGGAAGAGCATTTTCAGAGAAGCTTAAGGGTATGTAGTAAGCAAAAGTCCAGTCTGGCTGGCAGTGAGCACCCTTTAGCCTTCACAACAGCCCTATTTTACAGGTAAGAAAACTGAAGCTCAGAGTGGTTCAGTAATTTATATAGGGTCTTACTTTTTGTAAATGGCAGATTCTGTATTGAACCCATGTTTGTTGGCCTAACTCCGAAGTCTTTTGTTTTGTCTACTGTGCCATTCTTTCTCTGAGTCACTTACCTCACAGGCTTATTGTGCTTCCAGACACATCTTTCCTCTTGTTATTTCTCAGAGGGCTTAGCAGCTCTCTCTGGTTAATTGTGGAGCCAATGATCAGGTTGTTTCTTTCTTTAGATTTTATTTATTTATGTATTTATGTATTTATTTCAGAGAGGGGAGGGAGGGAGAAAGAGAGGGAGAGAAACATCAATGTGTGGTTGCCTCTCGAGCGCCGCCATGCCCTCTACTGGGGACTGGCCTGCAACCCAGGCATGTTCCTTGACTGGGACTCAAACCCTTGACCCTTTGGTATGTGGGCCGGCACTCGATCCACTGAGCCACACCAGCCAGGGCGATCAGGTTCTTTATTTATGCTAAGGTAATAATGAGACTTAACTCTTACAGGTTGTACACTGTGTATACTTACTTGTATACTATAGAATAGCGATTTTCAACCTTTTTCATCTCATGGCACACATAATCACTAAAATTATGCAGCACACACAAAAATTTTTTTTTGCTAATCTTACAAAAGAATAGGCATAATCTTGGTTCATTCACAGTGATGGCTGTTGTTCTGTTGGCTGTTGTGATTTTTCTCTTTGACAGTCTAAGGGAAAAGAGGTCAGTGCCCCTGACTAAAATAGTCAGGTATTGCATGTTTTAAAAATTTCTGCAGCACACAGGTTGAAAATCACAGCTCTAGAACTCTAGGGATCCTAGCAGCTTTTTCGGGAGTAGGAATCTTGTGGACTCTGGGGCTCATACAAAACTGCAGTGAATTCTCATTTAAAAATAGCCTCGTGATACTCATGGGGTGCTTTAATAGAGCCAGCGTTTCCATCAGCCTCTGTTCCCTACCCCCAAGAACTCCAGATAAACAAAGATCTGAGTAATAACTGTTTCTGCTGTAGCCTCTGCCTACTCCCACAAACCTCCCCTGTATAAAAATCCTAAAGCCACCACTAATGCATTTTATTGGAAGAATGAAAATAAAAAAGTTTTCATTGCTTTAAAAGTTTCAAAAACACTATCCTGGTCTCTGATGTTTTGGGGAAGTATCTCCTGATAAGGAGGGTTTTTTCTGACTCTTCATATCTGCTTATCTCCTACTACCTACATTAAGTCCCCCAAACATCTTTGTAAGTTGGGGAGGGATTTTGTTTTTGTTCTTACAGCTTGTAAGAACAATACAGATGAGTATATTGAAGCCTAGTGCTTAAAACCTGAAAAAAACCTCCAATGCCTGTATTTCCAGGTAATTTTATGATAGAGAAAATGAATGAATTCAGGCTAAAAATGTAGTTGTTTTATGTAAGAAGAGATTAAATTTTTAAAAAATTTTTCAATGTTATCTTTTTTACTGAATCTATTGGGGTGACATTTGTTAATATAATTATATAGGTTTCAGGAGTACAACTCTACAACACATTATCTGTGCATTGTATTATATGTTCATCACCAAGAAGAGATGTTTTAATGCCAATACTTAGTTGAATCTTTAATTTTTGCCATAGTTTACTAAGTAACTGATTGTTTTTCCTTTTTAAATCTTTGTCTAATCAATCTGTTAACCTCAATTTTTCTTGCCATCTTAAAAGGTACCACATAAAATTGACAAAGGTGGCCTGTTTTAGGCCCTCACCCATTTTAATTAACAGCTCATGCTTTTCTAGGAATTGGGAAGTTTATTGTAAAGTAATTCATAGTTCTAGGCAGATGGAGTTTGATGCTTTATTCTAATTATTGTAAATTTTTGTATTTCTGTGTTTTCAGGAAGTTTCCCTTGGTAGGACCTGATTTACTTGAAATGCAAAGTAATAAATTGATTCCCTCTACCATCCTCTTTGTCCTCAGTTTTATGTGAAACACTGACTAAAATGTTTGCCTTACAAATTTCTCTCTTTTTAAAAGCACCCAGAGATGCACATTTTAGGGGCTCATGCTAGAATACTCTGTCATTATGGCTTTACTGTTCTTTCCTTTCAAGTTGCCTAAACACAGCAGAGTTGGTGAGAGGAGCAAAGACAACAGGATAGTGCTGCCAAGTAGACAGGAAGCCGTAGTGGACCTAGTGAGCAGGGGCGGCTGAGCACACCCTCCGTCCAATCAGCTGTGAGTGCTGTTGCTATGTGCACTCTTACTCTGCTGCCTTTGTGAAAACCTTAGAGGGAAAGCGGAATCAGCACCCACCACTGAACGTTTTAACCACTGCAGACATCTGGATCCCTCAGTTACTGACTGTATAGCAATTGACAGCCAGAAGGCAACTTCTTTTATACAAGGATTCCAGTATGGTTTTCAGTGGAAACAAAAGGCTTCACAGAGAAGGTGTGTAATGAAGTGTTTTTAACGGCATTATTTTTAAGCTTCCAATTTTCTGTAGCTGTTTACCAGTTATGGTGTTTGCTTTGCATGGATTTTTAATAAACAGATCAAGAAAAATGATCTCACTTTGAAAAACATTGAACTTAGGGAATTTTATTTAGCTTCTTATAGCCTGTTTTCTTTGAACAGCATTGCTTTAGAGATTATTAAAATGCTGATCTGAACAATGAGTAGGAAGAAGAGAAACCAAAATACAATGAGCTCACTTTAAAGGGGAAAATAAGATAAAAATGAGACTACTGGAAAGAGAATAGGATTAGCCAGAATAATTAACTGTATTTGGGAGCAGGAGGTATTTTTTAAAATAAAAGCTGTTAGGGAGAATGTATTTAAAATAAGTTCAATGTTTTTAACTAAATTTTATTGTTTATGAATTTGGCAGATTATCAGAATTTAGCTTAGTGAGAATTTTGACATAGTTTAAGGAATTGATGTACTATCGTTTTATAATAGATTTCTGAAGATGCTACCTCAAATCCTACAGTCTCCCAGTTAATTACTCTGTTGACTAGTTGTGTGCAGTTCAGATAAAGGATAGTAGTATAATCCAACTGCAAAGTCAATGTTGTGTTCTATTACACAACATATTATAAATGGTTAAGATTGTATTTTAAAATTAAAGTAGGTCTCTTAGATAATTCCATATTTGAATTAGTTAATACTAGTAGAATATAGTAGAATCTTATTAAATTAAATCTCACTGATTTAATATTTGTAATAATTGAACAGAATGTAGGTTATGGTTTGGTTTTATGGGGTTTGGAAAAACCAGTTTATGTAACTGATTATAAGCAAGTTTTAAAACGTCTTAGATAAACAAAAGTTTTTTTTACATGTTCTTAAATACTGTGAAATTAGAGTTTACATAGGTGATTTAGCTATTGATTCTTTTAAATTAATTTAAGTAGAACAGAAGACTAATGAGCATATTGCCCATTTATGAACAGTTTTCTTTTGCTCATTGAGTTTCACCTGGTTGTGTAAGTGGCTCCTTTTTAATTTATTTAGTGATTTATGTCTGCTGAAATAAAATTAGTATAATATAAATTAAAAGTTAATATTCAAGCTTTATTTCTTATCTTTACAATATATTTTGAAATCAGTCGGATTGGTTTTGATAATGTTCTTTTCAGGACGTACCGGTCATTAGAAAGGCTTAGCAATCAATGTTAGCATTATTTGAAAAGTGATGAGAGATATTCTTTTCTTTGAACAGAACTCTAAATATATCTCATGCTTTTGTGCCAATTACTGATCACTTTTAATAATACATATAATACTTGAACACTTCGAATAGTACATGCAAATATACAAAATAAATTTTCCTTAAACATTAAAAAGGTGTTTCACATGACATGTTGCTGAAATTTAAGACTGGCATTTCTCATTTTTTCCAGTTGGTAGGTGTAGCCCAAAACTTGAACTTCATAGGAATTATAAAAATTATAACAAAATGAAGAAAGCTATTATATTCTTTGGATTTGGTGACATCCACAATATAATAAGCACTCATTTGCAGAAGAGGAGCAGTGAGATGGGAAAGGGATGGGAGACAGGTATGTTGAGAGTATTAAGTAATAACTGACTGTACAGAGGTTAGTCTAGTCATTTCCAGTTTCTGAGCTATCACTCTCCTCAATTACTATTTATTTAAAAAATTATAGAACCACAAATACCACAGTTTTGCTTGAATTGGTTTGCTACTCTTTTCCCTTTGGTTTATTTCTTAAGAATTGATAGACTTCCAAGAGCAAGCTGATTTCATTCATATACTACAAAAGATAAGGGAACATGATATTGGCAAGAAAGTTGGGCCTGTTGCTGTGTCACACAAAAGCTTTTGCCTTTGTATTGCAGGAGGAATAGTCTTGGAAGAATCTCAGATTTTATTCCTGGGCTCAGCACCTAAATATTCCTTTTTATTGGAATAAATGAAAGTCCGTGTTCAGTATCAAAACCTTGGGATAATAACTGATGTTTATAATTTGATCAAATATAGTAATAGAGTATTTCAAGTCTCTGAATTTATTATTTGACAATAGAATTTTTGTTTTATTCTATGTCAAATCTTTAAACCTAAATCAGTAACACATTTGTGTGCTTATAAATAGAAAAATACGTTCTCAAAAAGTGATTTTTTTGGAAAGAACTTTAACTTTTATTTTTTAGTTACAGTTTACATTCAGTATTATTTTGTGTTAGTTCCAGCATAGTGGTTTGATAATCATACTTGAAAGAGTGTTTCCCTTGATGTTTCTAGTATCCACGTGGCACCATACATAGTTACAATATTATTGACTATATTCCCAATGCTGTATGTACTTTGCATCCCTGTGGCTGTTTTGTGACTAGCAATCTGTTCTTCTCAATCCCTTAAATTTTGTCACCCCCATCCCTTCTGGCAACAATCAATCTGTTCCCTATGTCTTATGAGTCTATTACAAAAATAGTGGTCTCTTTTTTGTCTTGGTCACTTCATAAAGAATAACAAGAAGTACTCATATTTATCAGATATAGTGATTGCTGTAATTGTTTTTATTTTAAATAAATTGGTTTTGTTTATTTTGAAATCACGGCAATATTATGGAAGTAGTATATCATTTATAGCTCTTCAGAAAAATTCTGTAATTTAAAACCTCAGGTTGGGAAAGGATAAAAATCTGTGTCTTTCTCTAGAAATTTGTGAAATCCTTTTAAAAATTATCCTACTTCAAGTATTATTCCAAATGTTTAATTCCTATAAGTATGTTGTGTGACACAATGTTTCTTTGACTCTTCTTGCAGAAATTCATCAGCTTATATTCTGATTTAAAAAAAAAAGATGTAATTATCATAGTCAGCTGGGCAGGGAGGTTTAGCCCTTTTCTTAAATTATATTTTATTGATTATGCTATTGTGGGTCTCCCAATTTTTCCCCTTTTGCCCCCCTCCACCCAGCACCCCCACCCCCTCAGGCAGTCCCTGCACCTGTTGTTCATGTCCATGGATCATGCGTATAAGTTCTTTGGCTACTCCATTTCCTACACTGTAGATTACATCCTCATGGCTATTCTGTAACTACCTATCCTTACTTCTTAATCCCCTCACCTCTTCATCCATTCCACCATACCCCTCTCCCATTTGGCAACCATCAAAACGCTCTCTGTATCCATGATTCTATCTCTGTTGTTCTTGTTTGCTTTTTAGATTCAATTGTTGATAGATGGGTATTTATTGCCATTTTATTGTTCATAGTTTTGACCTTCTTTTTCTTAAATAAGTCCCTTTAACATTTCATGTAATAACGGTTTGGTGATGATGAACTCCTTTAGTTTTTTCTTGTCTGGGAAGCTCTTTATCTGCAGGAAAGTTTAGTCTTGAGAACTATTTGTGAGGCATTTTCAAATGGCAACAGTGCTTTTGCATGAACTGAATTGTTTTTGCAAGAGTATAGTAAATCCTTTAATTCTATTTTCAGATGTTACTGTATCTAAAATCAAAGACCCAAGTTTTAAATATATAGCTATTTGCAGTATTGCTTGAATTTGATTATATAATCTTTTGTGATAAGGCCAAGTTAAAAGTGGTAGCATAAAAAACCAGAAGTATTGTGTTTTTCTTCACTGGTCTCCTCAATTTTTTTTTATCCAGAGATTTGGATAAAACATTAAAGGATTTGAATTATAAGGTTTATGGTAAGCTCAGGGACATTAAAATAATAAATTACACTAAGTAGTCAAGATAGGGTAGATAGATAAGACTCATACATAGCTGGGCCTTAGATTTTGCTATAAGCTTTTTGTCATCCAGAGTATGGAAAGGAAACTCTACCAGTCATTTCTCTATGTCCCTATTATTTAACATTTTATTGCTAATTTGGCCACCAAAATTTAAGTTGGTTTCTGCCTGCTTAATATTTTGAGTTTTGGGTTTTCTGTAGCTCAAATTTAGGATTGCTTATCTATCCTGTATGATTTATTATTATTTAGCTTTGTGATATTGTGCAAGGTTTCACCTCTTTGAGCCTTGGTTTCCTCACCCAATATAATAAGGTCTTAGGCTAATTGTGTAGTTTAAATTGAAAGAATATATGAAGACTACTTAGATTAGTGACACAAAGTTAAGACTCAATAAAATGTAAGGTTTTATTATAATAAACTTTTCTTTAAAATTTTGAGAATTATCAATAGAGCCTTTTTAAACTTTATCCCTGAGCTTTAGATGAAGTCTGTCCGGAAAGTATCCAGCCATATACTATGAAAAATAAAGGCATTCATTGAAGGAAAAAAATATAAGAAACATTGTATGTAGGACAATTTTGCCTCAGTCCCCTTTAAAGTAGACACCTTGGGAACTAACACAGTTCTTCCAGTTACCATCAGCTGCCCCATCATATTTTCCTGAATCTCATTGATGGTCTGAAATATCTTTGCTTTCAAAGATGATTTTAGTTTTAGGAAAAGCCAGAAGTTGCAGGGTGCCAAATCTGGGCTGTAGGGGGACTGAGTCACCTGGGTGATTTGATGTTTCACTGAAAACTCTTCACCAGATGTGATGCATGAGCAGGCACGCTGTCGTGTTGAAGCTGCCAGTCACCAGTTGCCTGTAGCCATAGCCTTCTGAATCACCTGAATAGTTTCTGCAGAGAAATACTCAAGCTTAACACAAAATTTGATGCAGATTTGTTGCTCCACTCGCTCAGTCATCTTGAATTCGATGGCCACACAGTACAGTGAAGTCACCATTGTTCATACATGTGCATTCCAGTACACTCTCCTTGGCTGCCACGTTATATCAGTGTCGCATAAACCATTCTTGTTATATTAACAACGGCAAAACTTTTTTGAACAAGCCTCATATATGCAGATATACTTTTAGGTTTCTCAGTTTTCTAAGTTACAGCTACTTCATGATGACGGAAATACGGGGATTTAGGCAGAAGAAAGGTCAAAGTTAAAGGGAGG